AAAAAAAAAAGAATGGTTTACGTTATCCAAAGGTTGTGAAACAAACTAATGAACAAACAGCAGCAACAAAGAAGAATGTGCTGGAGACCATATGTAGCCCACAAAGCCTAAAATAGTTACTGTCTTGACCTTTACAGAATTTGTCAATCTCCCACTTAGATGATGGGGGAAATCTCATCAATTAAGCCTCTGGGCATGCTCGAAAAGAGAAACCAGAGGAGATCCAGGAGAAACAAGAGAACAATGGAAAATAAATAGAAATGCCAATCAATTTGACCAGTGTACCTCTAAAAGATGCACAACTTGCAATTCCACAGAATAGTAAGGTAAACACGAACTAAGGAAGGAGCCCCTAACTAAAGAGAGAGCCACACTAAGGAACATTATGTAAAGAATGTTCTGGAAAAGAGACTGCATGCAGAGCTTAGTACTGATTAGGGAATTATGTTCCTGTTTGATAAGATGGAGATGGAATTTGAGCCCGGGGATTGACAGAATATCAAGCTAAGTGAAATTTCTAGAACACAACTAAATATCTCATGAGCATTTAACAGTTTGAAAATTTCTCATAGAGATTAAGAAGGGAAGGTTAAAGTAGATTCTGGTAAAGCTAATATTGATTGAGTTATGCCCTATTTTAAATAAAAACCAAATACAAAAGTTTGCACTAAAAAAAGTAGAGACATTATGAGACAATGACAAGAGAAAACTTGGTTTTTCAAAAAGAAGTCACCAGAAGGTTCCTTTACATAGGAAGTTTACCTACTAAAAAATGATACTTGATCTATAAAAAAATTCATTTTTCATACAACTTTTAGGAAAATTATCCATTGTACTAAGTAGGGTGCACATATTGAATTTGGAGGGAAACGAATATTTCTAAACCGAAAATCCAATTTGTCTTTGGATTAATGAATTAAAGAACTCTTGAACATTTTCACTTACAGCATATATATTAGTTCATTGAAATACCTGGAAAATCTATGTGTCATAAAAGTAGAAGCCAGCTGTGGGTCTTCTATAAATGTAATGCTTTCAATGAAACCACACTGGGCCCAAGGGCAGGAGACCTGGAATTGAGGCTGGGCCCTACCACTGACTCACTCTGTGACCTTGTATATAAGTTACTTGACCTTTCTGGGCCTCAGCTTTCTCATATGTGTGAAATGAGAGAGGTTGGTCCCTTTCAGCTCTAACATTCCATGACTGCAGATAAATATAGAAATAAGATAAATACAACAATCTAGAAATAAGAAATATTCCCCAAAGTAAGCTTTGGGGTCAGTAGAAAAAGGTAGCAATGAAATATAATAAAAAAAGAATAAAATTTTAACCACTAGCCAGGGTAAACATTATTTCATTTAAAAATTAATGAAAAGGTTTGTAATTTACAATTCATCAGGAGACTTCAGAACATACATATTGATATTTCTTTTTCTTTCTTTCTTTTTTTTTCCTTCTACTTTGGTAGAAAACATATTGATATTTCTTTGCCATCATACACATGGGGGAGGAATGAGTTTGAGGCGACTTGTACAATGAGCACAATGCTGCGTTTGCATGCATAACGTTTTATAAAATTGGATGTTAGAAAAAGCTCAAGACCACATAAGGAATAAATGTCTATAAAGCTTGGCATTACAAAGAGGCTGAGAGGGGTTAACTAGTTGTTCCAGTTCAGATTTTGTTTTTGAGTTCGTTGCTATCAGATTCCACTATTTAGGCAAAAGTCTTAAAATCAAATATACTTCTGCCAGAGCCTTACTGGAGAACAGCCACCATGGTGAAGACAGGTATTTAAGAGCTGGCAATGCCAAACAAACCTAACACCTTTCTCTTTTTTCCATTTGTGAGTTAAAAAAAAATTTGTTTTTAACCCAAAGCAGGCCAGATGTGCTGGCTAAGTCAAATCAAAGATTTTGCACATTGAGCCATTAGTTGATCCAATATGATAAGTTGTTTTTTATTTATTTTTTTGAGCATATGCACCAGAGTCCCATAAAACATGACAGTCCTTATTCTAACAATTTCTTAAAACCAAACAAACATATGCCTGACCAAGATGACAACATACACGTCTTGGCCAGAGACTGGTGATTATAATGAGAGCCAAAATAATGGGAAAGGTTGGAATCAGTTGGAGAGTGATGGCTATAGTGATTCAGGGGCTTGAAGGAGTAACATCATTGGAATGCACACACATAGCACACACACACACACGCGTGCACACACACACACACACACACACACACACAGAGTCACTCCAGGGATGCTGCTGTTGCTGCTTCTGGAACTGCACTTTGAGAACCATTGGCCTAGATTTTGGGCTTTAATGAGCAAAAGTATAATGCCCATTTCACATTGCTCATTATTCATGCGAATTTCTTCTTGCCAACCTTATTAAAAATGCCCCAGATGTGTGTCTATAACCATTTACTATGTATTCCTCTATAAATCTGTTCAAAGTATTCTAAAACTTTGCTTATTTCATATTATGTTTATATCATTATACTTTTTGCTGCCTCTTGACAAAGGCACTTCCTTATACCTCTTTCCCACTCTCTTGCCCTTTTAAATCCCGGATATCCTTGTCACTTGTTGCTGAAATACATCAAAGGCTTTGAAAGGACTGGGGGCTCTGGTATAGATATAGTCTCATTCTTACACAAAGCTGAACTGATAGTCCATAACAGAGATGAAGTGGGGAAAGCAGAAGCTTGTGTTCAGTAAAGTTGTACCTCCAATAAGTTTAATAATCACCACCAGTACTGGACGACTGACATTGGACATGGATTGGACAGTTTCACCTTTCACAAACAGGACACATTTTCACAGACTCTTTAAATCCTTGTATTCTTTTACTCAAATGGTAAGTAGTATTACTTCCATTTATGTAAAAATGTCAATGTACAGTATGAATGATCTAGGCATTCTCAGTGGCTTTAGTAGCCATTTCTGAGAGTCCCTTGGTAGTAACCATATTGAATAGCATTGGGTATCAGGACAATTTAATTGACCATCAGCTATTAACTCAAATGATTCCAGGTGATTAAGATATTTTCTATATTCTGGAGTTAGGCGTCAGGGAATTTGGCCTTTCCATGGTGAAAAATACATTTCTACAACTAGTTGATGCCTAACATCCTGCAAGTAGAACCTCATTCCTTTGGCTTAAGGCTTTTCCCCTGTTAAAATGCAAGTGACCCTCAAAAGAGGTAGCATTAAGCCTTATAATCTCAAAGTAAATGAATTTATCCCTTTCCTGAGAGCGTGTTTTTCTTAGAGAGGCGGAGAACGAAGTAGGAGGCACTGAGGAGAGTTGGTGCTGGGAAGCGAAGTTTGGGGAGAATGGAGCAGAAAGAGGAGAGGGAGGATCCTGGTGACAGACCTCAACTCAGTCACTCTTTTGTTGAAGGGCTGGCCCTGGGAGCATCCCTACTGAAATGAGTGTTAACTTGCCACCTGGAGCAGATTACTTAGAAATCAACTATGTTTTCCGATATTAACACTACTAAAGATTCTTTAATGTATAGGCATACAAAGACTTATGGCAATGGAAAAATAGATAGCAATAAAATATTTGGTGCAACAAGAGATAGGGAGTTACCTCCCATCCCAAATCAGGACTATACTTGTTCATAGGAAGAAGATAAACTGATATTACTTTAAAGAGTGCAAATCACAGGGCTGGGACGAGGGTAAGGCACTTGCATGGCCCTGAGAGTGGGCACCTCTTTGAATTTTGTGCCCTAGGCGCCTCGCTCACCTCACCCTAGTCCTGGCCCGAGCAAATCATATTAAAGCGAAAGCTCACCATTGTGTCACAGACTTGACGATAATGGAAGGCTGAATGAGTGAGGAACAGAATACTGAGCATCAACTCGTCTTTTTCCCGAATTGTTCATTGATGAGGAAGAGGGCAGGTGCCTGGACCTGCTCAGACTGACAGGAATGGAGAAAACTGCAATAGGGTCTGTGTTGTCTAGATAGTTACACTGGATGTCAGGTGCAATGCTTGTTAGGAGAGCCTGGTAGGATCTCCTCTGTCTTTGTACGTTCAAGGTAATTTATCCAGATCAACTGGTCAGTTTGTGGTTATTATGCTAACACTAATTATTTTGCTTCCTGTTGTCTCACTTCCTTTATGGGTGAGTTGTTGTCTAGGGATGCAATTCATGGGATTTGGGGCTGAGAGAGAAGCTGGGGCTGGGGTGGTGGGGAGGCCCAGTCAGGAGCTAAGGCAGGCCAAGCTGTGCAGGCAAAGGAGAGGAGACACCAGCAAAGCTTGCTATTGTACTAAGAATAACTACCCTCACAAACATGTACTGACTATCCACCAAATGCAAAGCATCCTTGGTTACCAATTAACCTTCTCTCCAGGGATAGTGACTAGATCAAAGTCAGGCTAGCAGAGCCATCTGTTGCTACTGGTTGGAATGGGGAGGAGAAAAGGGGGTACGGATGACTTGAAATGGAAGCTGACCTTCTAGAGCCAACTTCATTTCACTCAAATCTCTTCTCTATTATACATTCAAAAATTATTATCATTATCATTTGTACTAGTAATTGTAGTAGTGGTGGGTTCTCTGTAAGCCTTCCTGAGGGGCTTTCAGCCTCTCTTCTCCAGTCGTGGCAGAGTAGGTGCAGAAGGCAGCAAACATTGTGGTAAGCGCCTGGGTGGGAGACACAGTGGTGTTATGATAATCAGAGGCAGGAGAGAGGTTGAGTGTTAGGAGTGGGGAAGATTCTTGGTGTTCTGTTAGTCAATGATTAGTAGATGTTTTACAGTTTGATCTTTTATTTGGGACTATGTCTACCTGTTGCAAAATATTAAATGAGTCCAGGCACAATGGCTTACCCCTTTAATCCCAGCACTTTGGGAGGCCAAGGCAAGAGGATTGCTTGAGCCCAGGGGTCCAAGACCAGCATGGGCAACATAGAAAGACCCCATCTTTACAAAAAATTAGTTTAAAATTTAAATGAATACTTTCAGTCTTAAACATTCTCTCTAACCATATGATTTCTGCCCTGAATCCTCTTGTGCTAATGGGAATACCACTGGGTGGGGCACAGTGATGATGTAGAAGACACTCTAAAAATTCCAGGCATATAGGGTATTGTAGAGGAAGGCAAGACTAAAGGTAATGACAAACAAAAAGATGTCTGAGCATTCAGTTTTAGAATCTTTTGGGAAAACCTCCAGAGGTAGCAAGGTGAGGGGAAAGGCAAAACCCACTAGAAGTAGTAAACAAGAAACTTCCAGAAAAGTCAGCAGAAAGTAGCAAGGCCTATATTATGTGAGTCCCATACTCAGCTTTAAAGTTTAACTACTCATAATGGTTCCTAAGGAGCAGACCCTGGTGTTCTTTCACTTTTGCTATGCAAAAGCACAAACACCCCTTCATTTTCTACAGAGGAAAATGTTTGTTTTTTGGAATTCTGAGTCTGGAGCAGACAAATGTGGCATTCATATATAAACTGAGGCCAAGGATGAATTGATTTTATTTCAGGCAAAATCCCTAAAATTTGGAATTTGGTTAAGACCTTCACACCAAGTAGTTCCAATACCTTCAAAAGCAACTGGGCCTAGCTATTTTAAGTGTCTTCTTTCTAAATCAGAAAGAAGTACTGATTGCAAGGGAGTTCGGGGGACCTGGCCTGCTTCCATAAATCTTAGATTCAGAACTCTAACAAGAAAGGGTCTAGGCCTAGGGCTTCTCTTGTGAGAGAAGTTTTCTCAGTACTTAGTGTGGTTTTTCAGCTGCTCGGTCCAGCTGGAGTGTGGGCAGTTGAGCTATGACATAGATTCTCATTGGGCAATACGACCTATCAAAGTTGAGATCTGCTTATCTCTGGAACTCTTACTGCATCCTCCAAGAGGTTGACCATTGAATCTGTTGGGTGGGGGGTGAAGTAGGAAGGGGCCAGGGAACCCTCTTTGTGAAGCACGCTACGATTTCATTCGACTGTTCTTTTTGCCTCTTGAAGACGGTAGACAATTAACCTTCCATCACTGATCAGCAGATTTTCTTTGCTCAATGCTTTGTCTCCCCCCTCCGCAACCTCCCAGAAATCAGGCATACAAAAATCAAATGAATCACTGCTCTTGCTCTGCTTAGAAAATTGAGCTGACAAGAATAGTTAGTGCCTGTGAGCTTCATGGGGGTGGGGGTGGTGTGAGGTCACAATGATTTATTCTGAAGCTCTTTCAGTATGCCATTTACCCAGGTTCTTATGCTCTCCCCCTGCAAGGTTAGTTGAAAGCTGGTCAAACAGCAGAACCCAAATGGCAAAAAGTAGCCCTTTGTGTGTGTGTGTGTGTGCATTGTGGGCCATAGCAACTGGCAAGACTGCATTTTAGGGTTTGGATAGATCCTTTCAGTTTATATGTTCTCGGTTTTTGGAACAGAGTCAGACTTCCTTTAAACAAAACCAAACCAACCACAAACCATGATCTGAATTGACTGGTGAAGGGCAAGATGCACTTACTTTCCATTCTCCTTGAGCCTTTGCTGATGCTGTTCTTTCAATTAGTCACTCCCTGTAATGAATGTTATATGCAAATGAAATGAGAGTTCTTAGAATGCAGCATGAGCTGGGCACAGATCTTGTCTATCACTGTTGACAGACACATGGAGGATATCAAGGTGCACTTGTGAGTTACCTCGGCTAGATCTGAGTGAACAAATGGCTGTCTTGTTTGTCGGTCAAGCTTGGTTCATTCAAAGCAACCCAGTCCTGGTCTTTTCTAGCTAATGCGGGGGGGTCTATATGTTTGTTGAAACTCATCACCCTGATCTCCATGTAGACAATCAAACTGAAAAAGGCATTAAGTTTCTGGACGGAGTCACAGTCATATTTTGCACCACAGAAGCCATCCAATCAACCCCATGCGGAAATAACTATACCCTGCAAACCTCTCACAAGTGCAGGGGAAAGCTAAACTGTGGTTGAGGAGGCATCAGAGTCTTTCTGTATTTGTACACAGAGCCATCAGAGCCTCCCCAGGAAAGTGAATAATGAGCAATGGCACCCTACGCCCCCCAGGTTTGGCAGCCTCCAATCTGCTCTCACACTGCACTCCTCAGTGACAGAAGCCAGGGATGGAGCAGCCGGGTCATTGAATTGAAAAACTGGCACATGTGCCCTGGCATCTGAAAATTTCTTCTTAGTTAGTGCACACCACTGGGGGAAAGTAAGAAGAAACTCGGGAGTCAGTCATGATGAGCTTATAAGTATGAAAACATAAAAATGTCTGAGGATGATTAAGTGCCAGATGATTTTAGCTCTAGATAAAATAGCCTCTCTCCTGCTGTCCAGAGTATGAGTTAATGTGAAAGAAATGTAGACTCTGTTGTTATTCCCTTGGTTCTGTTTAAAGACCCTTTCTCTTCCCCCTTCTCTACTCAAATTTAGTAAGTAAACCCTGCTTGTTGAGCCCAGGGCTTAGATACTGGGGTTATCAGTGGTTTCATAGTCTTTTGAAAATTGTGCAATAATTCTCCGAGCCAGTGGGTTAGTGGTCTTCAGCAGTTCAGCTGCTGAGGGACGAGACCTTGGAGTTGCCTTACTTCCCTTCTTCTGTAGCAAGGCCTTGAAATCGTCGTTTCTGCCAGCATCTAGGTTGGCACCGCTGCCTGACCCTGTGGTGGTGGTAGACTCACTGATTGGAAACTCAGCTGTGTTCTTTATTGGTGAGTGGGAGCTCGGTCTGCCGCCCACAGAGGCCTCACCAGGTTCCTTCCAGCCGAGCAGCTTCCTTTTGGACCTAGATAAGAGGAAGTCTGGTTTGAGTGAGTTCACGCAGCAGACATTTACCAATGCTTCACAGACCCCCATGTCTGTGACACAATCCAGGCGGCAGCCCTGCAAGCAGTCATATTGACTTGCTTTTTCTCTCTCTCACCTCTAAATCCTCAGAGCCCCTTGTTGGACTCTTCTGTCCCCACATTCCTTTCAATACTCCCAGCTGGAGTCACTTGTCCTGTGCCTGTAGGCTCAGTTCTGCCCAGGTTCTGGGACCAAGGACGAATTTCAGGAGTCAAGGCTAGTAGCTCAGCGACTCTGAATCAGGACAGCCTGGGGACTGATCCTGTTCTGAACTGGTGCTGTAGCTCCAATAATAAACTTCTGCCAGTTTTCTTGTCACTGAGCCCCTACCTTGTAACCCTGTCGAATAACTGGTCCCCATCTAGTTCCTCCTTGCCTAAGTTCCTGTTTTGATATGCTGCCTAGTGCCCCACTTCACCTCTTGATGGGAGTTTTTGGTCCAAGGAATTCTGTTAAGGGTTAAATGTCTCTGACTATAGACAGAGCTAAGAGAGAACAGATGGAGCAACAATAGGCCAAGTGGTTGCTAGGAGACGAGGGGCCTCTCACTCTGCACCTGGTCCTCCTCTCCTCTCCCTTCCTCCACTTTACCCAGTGATGTCAGTGAATTTAAGCTGTGAGGCCCTGGACTGTGCTCACATATATGGGTATCTGAACTTAGCCTCCAGATGCAATTCTAATGGCTGCTTAGAGGTAGCAGTTTTTCTCATTTTTAATTTTTTTCTTTTTCTTTTACAGTTAGGATTTCAAAATGGAATAGCAGTTTTTCTTTAAGTACAAAAAGGGAAGGCAATTGCAATTATAATTAAGGAAATTGGTGCAGACCTGTGTATCACGGTAAACAAATCTTCAGTTGTGCGTGAAGCCACAAACACGTCATCATCATCCTCCGCAATCCATTCGGCTGTTTTATCACTGATTAAACTTTTTTCTTCGGTGCCTTGTTCCACAGAGCTCCCTAGATATAAACACCAAAAGGAATGACTTTGACCACAATAGATAGGACAAAGCGCATTCTCATATGTTATTTCATTTGATGTTCAAAGCAACTCTGTGAGAGCAGCAGGGTGGAGAGAGATTTTTAATATCTCCAGGTGGAGCGAGTAGTGAAGTTCAGCATGGATCCCTGTTCTCTCATGCCTTTGTCATTACAACAGGTGGCCTGAGCATTCTCTTGTTTTAAAACTGTATATCATTTCTCTAAATGAAAGAGCTGGGAGTGATCTAAAGTAGTGACTCTCACCTGGTGGGTCAGAGTGGGACCTATCTGAATCTCAGAGGGGAGCCTGTGGAGTCTGAGGAAGCGTTTTCTACAACTACCTATGGCTTTGATTTATTTGCTTGGCTTAGTCATGATTGATTCATATTGAAAGTCCAAACCTGCATACAGAAGGCCATGAGATTTTGACTTTTGGTGTTAAGGGCTCAGAAAAGGATGAGAAACATGGATGAACCCTGACAACATTAAGCTAAGTGGAATAAGCCAGTCACAAAAAGACAAATACTGTATGATTCCACTTATGTGAGGTGTCTAGAGTCAAATTCATAGAGCCAGAAAGTAGAATGGTGGTTGCAAGGGAGGAATCTTCCGGGAGAGGGAAAGAGGAGTTGTTGTTTACTGGGTACAGAGTTTCAGTTTTGCAAGATGAAAGGAGTTCCGGAGATTGCTTGCTCAACAATGTGAATGTGTTTAACAGGAATGAACTGCATGCTTACAAATGGTCAAGATGCAATGTTATGGGTACTTTACTGCAATGAAAACAAAAAGAGACAGAAAAAGAAAGGATGAGAAATGTTACGCATTATGTTTCATGGTTCCAGGAAGACCCAAAGAACTCAAACCACCCAAGAAAGTGAGCTCCCTTTCCTCTGGAAGGCACAAACAGAGGCTGCTGGTGGCAACATATTTCATTGTTTCAGATGCCTCCAAGCCTGCCAGAGCACTTGAACTCAGTCTGGGGGGGCTATTGAGTCCCATGTAGGGAACTAAGTTCAGTGCAGCCAATGAAAAGTACTGTACAGTGAGGTGGAGAAGTAGTTCCCATGACAGGATGCATGCTTGACTAGGGAGGTGGGATGCTGAAGTCCTAGGGTACTAGAACCTAGCTTGATTTCATTATCTCAGCAGTAGGGTTTAGAGGGGAGAGTGGCCTAAACTGGGCCTTGGAGATCTGCCTCGGGCCAGTCTTGATCTCAAGGGCAGTAAGGCTGGCACATGGTTCCTATTTAGAGTAACCCAAACCCTCAAGAGGTGCCCACTACTGACTTGGGATCAGGATAATTATTCTGGGGCATCTGCTTCCATCTCTGGCACCCCACTCTCACCCTCATCTCTCCTGTGATTGAAGGAAAAAGCTAGCAGACAGTATACTAACCCAGAAGGCTTGCCTCCCTTTCACTGTCAGCCTGCGGAGTTGAAGTCACCCTTTGACCAGGTGATTGCAGGTCATCACCAGCTGGGGGACACTTGGCGTCTTCCTCCAGTGTGATGATGGGGCTGAGAGAGAGCCTTGGTTCTGACACACAGGCCTCCATTTGAGCTGTGGGAGAGGTGAGAGGCAGGTACAGCACGCTGGGTTTTTTTGGTACGGGAGGTGGAATCTTGCCTTTCTTTTTCTCAGCTTCTTCCTGGCTCTGGAGGCTAATTCTTTCAGGCAAGGCCCTCACCTTGGGGCCCTCGTCCTCCACACTTCCCTGGGGAGGCTGCTGTGTTCCTGAGAAGAAAGCACCAGAGGAACTGGCAAAAGGTGTGAAAACAAGAGATGAGGGTGCTGTTGACTCCCCTGGGCTTCTGCCATCTGGGAAGCTGGAGGACTTTGGTTTCCGCGCCACCGTGTAGCTGTCTTGAGGGAGTTGTCTCGCATGTTGAATTGAGCTCCTGGGGAGCATAGCCAAGGTTGGTGAAGTTAGTGGGTACTCCTCGGGGACAGATGGTGGCTTGTGGACCAAGCTTGGAGGCCTTCGGGCCACTGGAGGCTTCTCAGCTACAGGAGGTTTCATCTTTCTCTCTGGCAAGGTGAAGACTTCTGCTCTGGTTTCCTCGGCACAGTCAGGGCTCTCAATGTCATCTTCCGGCTCAGACTTGCTGACCGACCTCAGGCGAACAGAACGTAGGTCGGACTGAGTAACCATAGGCATGACTGGCTGGTTGGGACTAGTTTTCTGGGCCAGCTTGGCACCAAAATTTGTCTCTGAGTGATGCCGACTCACCTTGGTTTTGCTTCGGATGGAGATACTCACCCCAGACAGATCCAGGTTGGGTGAAGAGGTCAGTGGTAGGTCAAATGATAGCCGTGACTTGGAAAATCTCTCCATTGGTGACGTTGGGGGTAGTGATGATTTCCTCTCAGGTACCACTGGACGTACTCGGACACTGCTGCTTGGATGGGGTAAGTGGCCCATGGTCAAGGACATGGAAACAGTGGGAGTTGGTGTCTCTGACTGGCTGGAGTAGCCACTGGAGGGTGACATCAGTCCCGGGGGCCTTCCTGGGGAGGATATCTCCCTAGCTTCCACTTCGATGGAGAGTTGGGAAGGTGTAGTGGCTCTGGAGGTGGAAGGCGAGGCAAGAGACTCTGAGCTGCCCTGAACTTGGGTGCACTCAATGACTGTGGTACCGGTGGCAGTGCTGGAGCTGGACAGGGATTGGTAGGTGTCACCAGACTTCCAGTCAGTAAGATACCAGTGGTGGGAGAATTGTGTACCTTCTGGATCTTTGAGGTTTGGCACAGCTGGGTGATCCTGAGCATCTGGGTGGGACGAGTGATGTCCTTGGTGTTCCAAGGAGAGGCAAAGACTCTTGGGCCTCTGGTCCTTGGATAGTGCTTCAGGCAAGAGGCCTGGCTCATCTTTGACTAGTGAGACACTGCGTGTGGGTGGGCAAGGCTTCTTTTTGGCCTTCCTGAGTGAGATACTCTTGGACCTCTGCCTTCTGTGCTGGGCCTCTTGTTGGGCACTAAGGGAGATGATGTTGTCAGCACTGTTACTGCCCTCAGAGCTCGTACTGGCAAAAGGCAAGGCACAGGCCTCACTGGCCTTCTGCTCCTCATCATAGTCAACATCTGTGGTGCCTGAGTCTGTGGGCACAGACAATGACCGCTCCCGGAATCTGCTGGCTCCACCGGGGCCTGTCTCCAGCCTCGAGGTCCCACTGGTCAGAAGGCCAATCTTGGAGGGTCTTTCTGGCATGTGCCTTCGCTGAATAAGGCGCTCAGGGTAGCCAGCTGACCCACTGCATCCTGCTGGGTTATCATGAGCAACAAGGAGAGTAGCAGCCTCCTTAGGAACCAGAGGTGGGACTGTGTTCACAGAGACCCAAGAATTCCCACAGGAAGGATTTTTCCTACTTTCATTGACTTGATTGCTCTTGCTGGTGGCACTTGGAGTCATGTAGGTAAAAGCATCTCCCTTCCAGGAAGTGGAGAAGGTTGATTCTGTAGGTCCATTGCAAGAAGTGGGGACACTGTATACCATTCCCATGCTCTCCATGCCAGGAGGGTTTGGGCCACTCTGTGACTGGTGAGGTTCGTCTGGCTCACTGGAAGGAGTTCTCAGTACTGGCGAGGTAAGACTTGGGAACCGAGCGTAGTGACCAACTGCAACTCTTCCATGAACCCCTTCCGGAACTGAGTGACTGGGCCTGATGTCGGAGGTGGTCGAGTGGGCCGCACTGCCTGCTGGGCTGTGGCTGTGACCTGGAGGAAATAAACACAGAACATGAGCACTGCAGCAAGGGATCTCCTACCAGCTGTTTTGAGACAGGAGCACCAACTTTTTGCCAAGAAGCATTTTTGCCAACAGTTTGGTCAGAATTCCTTGGTTCTTCTCTTCCATAGATGCGGATGCTGGGGAAGTTGGGTTCTTGCCCGTCACCCCACAGTGAATCACAGGGTGCCTTTGAATGGTCCAGATGGCTGCCAAATACTTTCCAGCTTTGATTATTCCCCTTAGAGCTGAAGTGTCACGTGGGACTACCTTGCATTTTTCCCATACTTTCACCCCAGGCTCATAAAACTATCACAGACCTCAGTGTTCATCCATTCGGAGATGAGAGTAGAGGCTTTCGAACTAAGGACAGCATGGTGTGACTCTTGGCTCCAGCAGTAACTCTGGAGTACGACCAAGCTGCAAAGCTTAGAGTCTGGTTGCATTGTTTGCACCTGTCACTTTTAGGCTTTGCAACATAAGGCTGAGGATGACCTGCAGATGTGAGGAAACCGTTTGGATGTTCCAAATCCCCAAAGGTTTTCTCGTACACACAAACAATTAATACTGTCATGTCATTATTATTATTAGTAGTAGCATTATGACTAGTACTGCTATGAGAATTTGTAGTAACAGCCACCATTTGTTGGACACTGACTATGTACCACGCACATGGTAGGCAAGTTACATACAATAACACTAATCTTCATGCTAATTCCACTAGGTTGGTATTATTATCCCCAGTTTATAGATGAAGAAGCTGAGGCTCAGAGAAGTTATGTAACTTGGCCAAGGTCTTCCGGTTAGTAAGCGGAGAGGCCAGGGCTCTTATCCTCTGCTATCTCCCTGGGCTGTGCTCTTTGGCCAGCATTCACTTAATGGTAATGGTTCTGTTAAGATGATAGTGAGGATCCCTCTCCCCTCATCTATTTGCCTAAATTTGGCATATCTGGTTATATTACATTTATAATGGGAAACAATGTAATGGATTCATTAGCCTGGGAGACCTATCTCCGTATTCAGTTGCCACCCTTGATGAGAGGCCCTTAGCTATTCTTAATTACCATACTGGTTTTTTCAGGACATCCGAAAGCTCCCCTCCCAATTATTCCTGTTCCCCATCACCACAGTATGACCTGAGTGGCAGGATTGGTGGGAGTGGGTAAGGGAAATGGACTGGGGAGTCAGCTGTGGTGGGGTCACCTTGGTCTCGCTGGGGAAAGTTAGAGAATCCAATAATGGTCCGCCTCCGCCTCAGGGTGGACTTGGGGTTCACGGCTGTCTCTGTGTTAAACAATGAGTGTCGCAAACTTGCATGTTTATCAAACTGCTGCCCTGTAGCCAAAATAAAGACACTTGGGTGCATCCTGATTTCTGTTTAAAACATAGTGGAAACTGGCCCAAGGTAGAGAGAAGGAATGATGGCAGTCGTGATGAGCATGAATAGCGTCTAAGGCAGGTGGCACTTCTTCCCCATCCTTCCCAATTTGGCCCTGGGCATGCATGCTGGGTTTCTCAAACATGGAAGTGGCAGTGGTTTTCAACACTGGGGTACATATTGAAATCAACTGGGCAGCTGTTCAAACTGCAATACCTGGCCCCCACCCCAGAACACTGAAATCTCTGAGAGTAGGGCTCACATAGAAGCATTTTCTAGAAGTCTTCAAGTGATTATTCAGAGGTACAGCCAGGGGTGAGAACCACTGGTATAGAGCAGTAGGCTGCAACTGGATGCTGCTTGACTGTGATCTTTCCTCAGAGAGGGCCTTTATATGGGCCAGGCGAGGCCAGTGTCTCCAAGAGGCTGCCCTACTGCCCTCCACCATCCAGGAAGATGCCTGATAGTCTGTCCTACAGTCACCTCATCACATTTTACCAAATCTGGCCCGCAGCATGGTGATTGAGCTCTATTTCCTTCTCTCTCTCTCTTTTTTTTTTCTGGCACTGACTTTTCAATTCAGGAAAATTATTGACACAGATTACAGTTATCGTTTCCTCTGAGTTACATGGTACTTTCAAAATACTTGTTAATTCAGTTTGTTTACTGACTTGATAATGTTTTCAAATTTAATAAAATTAAAATGGAAGATTTACTTAGTAATATGCCTTACTTAATATTATTAAAAAATTTTTTAGAGCTCTATTTCTCTTAAAGTGCTAGGTCAGTCTTTGGGTTCTGGAAAATGCCTGGGTCAGAGTCAGGGCATGGCAGGGTGATGGGGCAAGGTCTGTGGTTCCCCCTCCCTTTCTCTCATTCAGCAGCTGGCTAGTCAGACCCTCCCCCACCAGCCACACAGCCGCTTACATTCACAGACATCTCAGCAGGTGGCTCTGTGGGAAAAGCTCAGGGACAGCCTCACTGAGAGGAAGACAGATATTTATTTATTTATTTAGAGACAAAGTCTCACTATCACCCAGGCTGGAGTGCAGTGGTGCGATCTCAGCTCACTGCAACCTATGACTCCTCGGGTCAATTGAGCCTCCCACCTTAGCCTCCCAAGTAGCTGGGGCCACAGGTGTGCACCACCACACCTGGCTATTTTTTTGTATTTTTGGTAGAGATGGGGTTTCACCATGCTGTCCAGGCTGATCTTGAATTCCTGAGCTCAAAGTATCCACACACGCCAGCCTCCCAAAGTGCCGGAATTACAGGTGTGAGCCACTGTGCCTGGCCAAGATAGACATTTAGACACGAAATGTTCAACATCACTTCTGGAGTCTTTCCTCATCAGCCCTCACTCCTTTTGGTATATTTCCCTAGGCTGTGGGCTCTATTTCCTGCCTCTGATTTTCTGAAATGATGCCAGTGACAGTGGAGGACCCCATATCCAGGGAGCATTGCCATGTGTGGCCAGAGCTGTCCTCATCTTCATCAACATTTCCCAGCAGAGCACAGGCTGGCGCTGGCTCACAGGACCCCTCTGATCCTTTTAGGTTACTGAGATCATAGTTTCATCATGTCACTGGCCCTGTCTCCTCAAAGGACTGGCCCTCCTTCTATTCCCCTTATAGCTGATGGACTGTAGATCATGGATTAATAGTGAGCATGGTATAGTGTGCCATATGCCCCCAGAGCCACAGCTAGTTGGGCTACCGACAATACATCATGTTACCCACTCTCAAAGTTGTACTGGGTCCCCTTTTGGTCTTTTTGGCCTTAGGACCTTTCTACCACTTATTTTCTTGAAAACTTGCCAAACAAGTTGAGGAGGCCCACCTTGCTAGAAGACTAGTGTCCAGCAAAAGTGCCACCAGACCTTTGGTCTGTGCCCAGGTGTGATCGTCCCTTGTTACCACCAGCACTCCAAACCCCATTCTCCCGCTTCGACTCCTGCCAGTGTTCTGCAGACCCAGCTCTGGGCACAAGAACTTGTCTTTCCCAGACCCAAACAGAACTCACAAACTTTATGTTTCCATATATGCTGATGAGCACACAAATTCATAAGCCTTTAGAGCTTTCTGTTAAGAAAATTTGGTTTGCTATCAACTGGTCTCATTAGGGAGGCAGTGCCAGGAAGGGGTGAAGAAAGAGCAGCCAGAGCCCCCTCTTCTGCATGCCTCAATTCCCTGGCGAGAGCCATGACTGTGACAGCACAAGGTGAGCTGGCAGCAAAGAAAGTCTCACTTCCCTCCCCCAGCACCCAGTGCATTGAAGAGGATGGCCTGTAGAGGGAGGAAGGGAAGCAGACAGAGGTGGTGCTAAGCAACTCTACCAGAGATGTTGATGGGCACAATGTCAGACTGTGTGGAGCAAGGCTGAAGCCACCGCTTCTCCTCTAGGATGGGCAGAGGGAAGAAGCTATTCCAGGCAGTTTGCTTGTCGGCTGTGGTAGACAGGCTCAGGGAGGCCTCGGGGGCCCTCACACCCTGGGTGGTAGTTTCATCCTCACTCAGCTGCCGTTTTGTAGGCTGTTGGGAGAGAAGGTGATGGAAAGGGTGTACTCCTGCCTGGCGATGAGCCAGTGCCCACTAGATGGCTGTTTGGGCTGGGTAGTTGAAAGCTTCATCTGGGAGGCAGAAAAGCGTGGACAGGCCGCCAGGCCAGACACCTGCTGTGCAGGGCCCATCTGGATGGGGCCTCAGGGTAGCTCTCCTGGTGAGCACAGGTGAGCAGCTTCCAGTGGGTAATGTTAGCAGCTGGAGGTCTCTGTCAGTGGGTTCATGCTGGCTCTCCCAGGTGGGGGATGAGGCAACTCACCATCAATACAAACTCCAGACGCCTGGCAGACTGGGGCCTTGGGTTGGGGGTGGGCTCAGGGGCCTCATCAGAAGAGCGAAAGGTCTGCCCCAGAAGTCTGGCCTCCGAGTACTGTTCCTCATATTCTTCTGAAAAATAGCACAGTGGAGACACACTCTAGGGTGCCACAGCCGAGCGCTGGGTTGGGGAAGGGTCACCAGCCAGGGCTCCTGCCCTAGCTGTGAGGCCTGACTCTCATTGTTTCTTTAGGCTATTTCTGGGTGTTTGAGATTTGGAAATGGAAAAGTGCAGGGTTGAGAAGAGAAAGTCAGTACATTCATGCTGTGGTGGTTTGGGGACCAAGCCCTTATCTCAACAACCCCCGCCTTGAGTGCTCAATTACAAAAAGAGGTTCAGGATGCAGACACCTTTTGCTACTTTGGACTGCAAGATCCTGTCTTTGAAGCCCTGCAGCTCTTCAGGTTTTCTGCGACCCTACCAAGGAAATGACCTGTGTCAAGCAAGAAGAGATTTACACCGGGAAGTCCAATCTGGAGTTCTCTCTTGGATGTCAAGAACTCTTACTTGAGCTTTTGTGGGTCAGGTTCCCTGCACCTTAGTCCTGCTGTGAATGGTGTCAGGTCTAGGAGGGCTAAGGTGAAGGAGAGGGAAGGAGGAGGTAACAGCATAAAAGAGGCAGAAGTTCAGTGGCATCATCAGTGAATAAGGATGCACAAGATTTGAATGGGGTTGATTGAAGTGATGAATTTGATGAATACATGAAGACAGTGAGAGTAGAGAAGGAACATTCATGCTCAATGTACACTGAACAAAGCTCTTAGAATCATAGATTTGGGGTTGTTTTTAGGGTTCTTTGATCCAACACCTCATTCTGTGTCCAGACTCCCTCCTCAGTAGCCCTTTTAGGTGCTTCTTCAGCCTCAGTGCACACACCTGCAGGTAATGGGAGCTCCCTCCCTCCCAAGGCAGCTCATTTCTTCCACGGACAGTTGGGATTGTCAGGCATGTCAGAAAGTTCTTCCTTATCTGGAGGTGGAATGTGCCTCCTTCTGGGTTTCCACCCACTGGTCCTAATTCTGCCACAGTAGCAACACAGAGCACATAGACTCTTTTGCTGTGTGGCAACTCCTCTGTTATCTGAACACAAGGCTCATGGAAACCCTTGGCATCTTGCTTTTCCAAGGTCACCACTGCCCTGGTGGGGGGTGGGGGTTATTGCTGTTATCCTATTGGTGGCCCATCAGCAGTTTTCTAGTTGCCATTAGAGTTAACCTTCATTAATATAGATAAAGGACTGCTGACGAAACCCCTTTTCATGCTTAACATCCACTGAGCACCTCTTGGGGGATGAGGAGGGAATCCAGCTGTGTTCCAGGTGCTTTTGCAAACCTAAGGGTAGTAAGATACGATTTTTTTTTTTTTGAGACGGAGTCTCCCTATGATGCCAAGACTGGAGTGCAGTGGTGTGATCTCAGCTCACTGCAGCCTCCGCCTCCTGGAGAATCAAGCGATTCTCTTGCCTCAGCCTCCTGAGTAGCTGGGATTACAGGTGCCCACCACCACGCCCGGCTAATTTTTGTATTTTTAGTAGAGATGGGGTTTCAACTATGTTGGCCAGGCCGGTTTTGAACTCCTGACCTCAAGTGATCCGCTCTTCTTGGCTTCCCAAAATGCTGGGATTACAGGCGTGAGCCACCGTGCCCGGCGGTAAAATGTGATTCTTTACATCGAGAAGCTCAGGTTGGTTAGGAGGACAAAATTGGTGACTCCTGGGTGCTGTGTATAGGGCTTACTTTGGTGAGGTAATAGCTACCCAGGGGGCAGTTATTGCAAGAGCAGAGTGAGTGAGGCCTAGGGTGGGAGATTCTGCAGATGGCCCCTTTGTCTTCTGGTGCCAGGATCCAAAAGGTATAGGCGATGTGGCAAGAGAGGGGGCTGGAGGGAATGTGGGCCCACATTGTGGGGGTCTCCCACCCAGCTATCGGTGAATGACATGACTTATGGCCCTGCCTCAGTCTCTGTCCTTGTTTCCCCATGGAGTACTGAGCTGAAAAAAGGGGGTGGTGGGGGAAAACAGCCCTGGAAATAGCCTCTTTCAGAATTATTAGGCTGAAAGGTGAAAGCTGGAAACTGCTTTGTCGATTGGTTTTAAACTGTTTTCTCTGTTTCCCTTGCTGGTCCCTGTCCTCTTTCTTCTTTGCCTCCCTCCTGCCGCTGCGTATCTTTCCTCTGGGCTCGGCCGCAGCCCCCCTCCCTCTCGGTACCTTGCAACAGGCTCTGGAGATTGAGCTGCGCCTCTCGAAGCAGCTCCTCTACACTCGGAGGCCTGCCCGAGGAGAGGAACACGTTCACTGGCTGTCGCCATGACGACCTCGAGTGGGCAGTCGCTGTCGCATTTTCCCGACCCGAGTTAGCTGCAGCTAGGGAAGGAGAGAGTCAGTGAGAGGCACAGGCGAGCTTGGGGGGAGCGGCGCGCGGCGGCCAGTGGGCGCCCGCCGTTCCCCAAGGCCCGCCTCTGCGTGGGGCGGGGGGAGTGCGAGGCTGCGCTTAAAAGGCGAGGAATCGCCAACCGCAAGATTTTTCCTCGACAGATTCTGCCGCAGTCCGCTCCCTCCCGCTCCGCTCGTCTCTGCCCGCCTGCCTGGTCGCCGCCGCCGCCGCCGCCGCCGCCGTGTCGCCCGCGTCCTCCGGGCCCAGTACCGCCGCCAGCCCTCTCCGGCCCCGGCGAAGAGGTAACGCGCCCCAGGCCGAGCCGCTGGGCCCTCCGCCCCGAGCGCCGTCCTCCAGCTCGCCCCGGTGGGTGTGGCCCTGCCTGTCCCGCGCCCCGCCGCCGCACTTAGGTCCCCTCCCGCGTCCAGTCGCCGCATTTCGGCATCCTCCTCCTGTGGCCCGTAGCTCCCGTCCCCTTTTCCCCACTACGGAGCCCCAGGACCCTGGGCTTGTCAAGATGTCTGAGGCGACAGGAAATCTCAACAGCCTCCGCATGGCGAATGTGGCCCTGCGTGAAGAATTAAATGCCCTTCGCGGGGAGAATGCCAATTTGGGCCTCCAGCTGGGAAGAGCCCTGGCGGAGGTTAATTCCTTGAGGGGCAATGTCTCGAGCTACATCCGCTGGCCAGTGCCCATAGTGCCCGTCCTAGCGGAGGAGAACTTGGAGTTCCCGCTCAGTGAGATCGAAGCCATTCCTGGGGGACAGCTGCCCTTCTCATGCCGGCCTCCCCCACGCGCGGAGCCCGAGTGTATCTCGGATGATCTTTTGATTAACGTGATCCAGGATTGCAGCACCACCGACGGGCCCGCTGACCCTCCTCTGCTGCCCATCCCGCCCCCGCCAGCACTGCCCCCGCCCGCGTCAAAGGAGCCGCCCCCGCAGCCCCCTCTGCCACCGCTGCAGCGGCCTGAGATAGAGCCCTTTTCAGGCGACCCAGTCTACCTGGCTGAATTCCTGATGCAGCTAGAGACCTTCATAGCCAACCATGAGGATCATTTCCCTGGGGGCGCCGAGCGGGTGGCCTTTCTGATCTCCTTTTTCACTGGCGAAGCCAAGGACTGGGCCATCTCAGTCACTCAGGAGGGAAGCCCCTTGCATGGCAACTTCCCGCGCTTCCTGGATGAAATCCGTAAGGAATTCTGTGGCCCCATCCCCCCACGTGTAGCTAAAAAGGCCATTCGCAAGCTCAGGCAGGGCGACTGTACCCTCGGTAGCTATGCAGATGCTTTTCAGTTCCTGGCTCAGTTCTTGTCTTGGGATGACTGCCGCCTCCAAAACCAATTCCTCAAAGGCCTGTCGGAATTCTTCCGCAAGGAGCTTTTATGGTCAACAGAAATGGCTGATCTGGATGAGCTGATTCTAGAATGTGTGGAGATAGAAAGAAAAGTGCGCGTCCCCAAGCCTATCCCGCTCCCTGGGGTTCGCAATATCCTCTTCCCTTTTGCTCCGAGTCCCAGTGAGGAAGAAAGTGAAGATGAAGAGTACTACAGTGAAGATGAAGACCAAGAGGCACGCAGGCACAGGCTTCACCCCAAGGACCAGAGGAAGTGCATAAGGGCTTTTCAGCAAGAGATGATGGAGAAGGAGGAGGAGGAGATGAAGAAGGAGGAAGAAATCAAGGAGGAAGAGGAGGAGAAGGAGGAGGAGGAAGAGGAAATGAAACAGAAAGAGGAGGAGGAGGAGATAAGCAACAAGAATGAGGAGGAAGGACAGAGTAAGGGTGAAGAAGATGAAGATGAGGATGGGGGCCAGAGACCAGAGCAGGAGCCACAGCAGGAGCCAGGGACTGAAGAGACCGATGGTGAGGCAGAGGAGGAGCCCCTGGATGAGGCCCAAGATGATGACCTAGATGAGCTGATGGAGATGGCGCCGACCTTTGTTCACGCGTCATCCCAGACTTCTGGTCCCACAAGTGGTTACCATGCCGAAAACTTCCTGGGTGCATCGCCTCCCATAATACAGCCCAGCAGACGGAGGAACCAGAATCGTGTCCCACTTCTGGAAGGCCTTCCAGGCACCAATTCACCATTCTACAGCTCGCCCCCACTGATTCGCCGCACAAGTCGCTTGGGGCAACGCCAAGTTCGAAGACGGCCCCCTGTGCTTTTCCGCCTCACTCCGAGACAGGGAGGCCACCGAGCTGCTCGTGGCCGAATTCGAGTGTGAGTGCTGGGGCCAGATGGCCACCCAGAACACACCCTTCTTTTGCGTCCCCTGCCCCTGCTATTGCTGTCATACCTGCCCCATCTGCTGACCAGACTTCAGGGAGTTTCAGACCTGCAGAGCCTGAAGAAGACCCACAGAACTCCAGACCATCTTGCAACCATGACCAGAGAGTGACGTGTGGCCAACCAGGGTCACCTGAGAAAGGAGGGATTAGCAGTAGCTGCCCTCTTGGCATGTACTCTGCTCAGTCCTGCCACGAGCTGGAGGGCAAGTTTCTGGGCCTGTTCCCATAAATGAACTGGTCACCCTCTTGTCTCTCCCCTCTGGTTGTTCCTAACCCTCACCTCTCCTGCGTTTCTTCACCCTATGTTCTACAGTTTTATCTCTCACTGACCCAATTGGACTTCACCCAATGCCTCACTGACCTGCCCCAATGAGCAAGAGGATAGGCTACCCTGAACTCCTAAAGCCACTGAGGCCAGTTACTGGATAGTCTCAATGGTGGGCAAGATGGTCTCAAGAAATGTCCCTAGAAGCCTACACTCTTCATGCCACACCTCCAGCAGAGGGCCTGGAAGAGGACCCGACATCTAGCCCAGTGAGAGTGTGCAAAGCCACATGTCAAATGGACAACTTGACCGAGATTTGCCCTTGACTGACTGTGCAGGCTGGTTCCACTTACAGCACTAGAATTTACCTTTGCATAGACTCCCGTATCAGGGCTCTTGGACTGGCTTGCCTCATCTGGAGCCCTTTCCTCTCACCACATTGCCCTCCTGGGCACCCCCGGTGGACAGCGCCCAACATTGCAGGCTCCACCACTTCCCTTGATGTTGCCTAAAGGGTAGCCAGTTGGGGTTCGGGGAGGAGAAGGAGGAAGAAGAGGAGGAGGAGAAAGAAGCAGTAATGATCATTCTGCCATTGTAGAGAGTGACTCTTTCCTAAGGGAAGGTGGTCTTCTCCCCCTGCCAGGCTTTGGATTGCAGCCCCCAGTCAAAGGTCTTTGCAGGACATTTTCTATCCCTGGAGTTGCAGAGGAGGCCCAACTGGCCATTCTGTCTGGGACAGACAGAGGGCCCATGGCCTGTTCTGAGCTCCCTTCGACTTCAAGGATCCCTTAGTTTTGAGAGGAGAAAAGAAGGCTGCACCCACCGTGGCCTCACAGCTGGGATCCCTTTTCATGTCTTTGACCTGGGGGCCAATCCCTGGCCTGCTGCTGTGCTTTAGTGACACAGTAAAGCTTAAGAGGGTGGCTGCCTCCTAGGAACTCCTGGGACTTCTGGGTACAAGCTCAGGTGCCCTTATAAAGAGACCCGCTGCTTGCCTTGAGTCCAGAAAGCACTGCTTCTGCAGTGAAAAACACCCATTTACTATGTCATTTCTGGCCACAAAATGCCAGCCAACTCCACTGCTGGCCTGAACTGCCCCTGGACACTGGGCTTTTGCACAGTGCCTGGCAGCAAAGCAAGTGCGGCCAGGGTTTGTGGCCAAAGGGAAGAAAACATAGTAAATTCAACCTCTGTTCCTCATGGGAGTCTGACCAATAACATCAGCCCGACCTTAGGATCTTGGGCCTGGATGGAGGCAAGAGGAAGAAGCTGGAGGAAGAGGAGTTGCAGAGAAACCCAGTCCTCCGACTGGTTTCTGGTGAGGTCTCTATTCATCAGTGGGAGGTAAGATGCCTTTTTCATTAGCACTTTTGTTTCTCAGCCTGGGGAATCAGTGGAGTTGGGTTCCTATAACCTGTTGCTACCTTTTAAAAAGATCCCTTCTCTCCAAAGAGAAAAGTAATACATAATCGTTAAAGAAAGTTTGGAAAATGGAGAAAACTATAAGGACAAAAAACCCCAGACCTTCAGAGTCCCATCACATAGATGCAAGCACTATTAACACTTTGCTGCCTTCCTTTCTAGTGTGTTCTTGGTACGTCTTGTCAAAGCTGAGATCATTCTGCCAGTTCTTGATCAGCAGGATTTAAAATGGCTGCCACCTGTGCAGTCATGCATGCTGAATAATTCATTTAAGCATTCTCCTAATTTGTTGGACCTTTCAATTGTCGGGTTTTCCCCATCCGCACCAGGGCAGGAGTAAACAACTTTGTAAAGAAAAATTTGTCTGTTTTTCAGCTGATTTTGTCTAATTTCCTCAGGAGTGCATTCCAGAAGGGGACCTGCTATTCTTCGAGGCTGTGAACCCTATTTGCTGATGGCCGACACTCTGGCCCTGCTGCCTCATGTCCCTGTGGAGACGTGTGAAGGACGGGTGCCTTACACCCACAATTCCAGGGACCCTTCAGCATAGGCCCTGCCTGTTCCCATGGTACTTCTCACCCTGAGTCCTCAGAACCACAGCCAGGGACAGAGCAGATGAGCCGTGAGCTGGTTTCCACCCTCTGGGGGCAGGAAGGGCTTGGGCTTCCCTTTGAACCTCTTCCTCCCTTTCCCAGATCTTCAATATTTGTTGTGATATAACAGCCATAAGAGCTGTAAGAGGAACTGTGGGCTTTGGGAGCTTTCTTGGGTTGAAAGAGGGGTGGGGGGAGGGGATGCATGCAGGGGTATGAAGGCAGCCCAAGGTCTCCCAGAAGCTCGGGAGGAAACCCGTTTGGAATATATGTGTTATTGTTTCATTACTGTGTTGTGAAGATAAGAAACTGCTCTGTATGCTAAAGCTTTCTCTCCGCTATAAAAATATAAAGGGTGTGTAAAGATTGTGTCTCTTTGTTTTTAAGCAAACATAGATGGGTATAGAGTAGGCATCGGG